TTCAAAAAAAATGGTTAAAAAAAAAAAAAAAAAAAAAAAAAAAAAAAAAAAGGTAAAAAAAAGCTGCAGGATATTTAAAAGAGGATAAAGACTATAAAATCAAAGGCACCATGTTGTAGAACCTTCTAATATAAAATTAATTTAGCATTCTCTTGAGATTAAGTAATTAATGTTTCAGGAAGAGCAAAGATCCTCCAAATTTATAGCCAGTTCCTGTTTTTACCAGATAATCACTGTTCTCTGCTTTTTTCCTCCTCATTCCCAAGAATGTACACTGTAGTTACAATAGTAATTCCTATTGTATACATGGGTAAAGAATATTTTGCCAGTACCAACTCAATGTCCACTTCTAATATACCTCTTGGAAGAGAAAATAATAAAATGATGAAGTAAATACTTCAAAGAGATGAAACACATTTTACCTGTGAAAATAAACTTTTAGTCACGTGTGAAAAGTTTGGAATTTAGTAAGTCAGTTTTACACATTTCAGTACCTGTAATTTATTCTGTTGTTTCCATACATTATTTCAAAGTAGAGCATAACCAGGATAGTTTAAAAGATTTGTCTCTGTTTTGAATTGCAATGCCTATACTGGATGAACTATTTATATGTGTTTCCTGTGTTAAGGAACTGAAGAAAGTAACTACAGACTTGATAAGGTCCAAGGTCACCTCTCAGTACAGGGTGGGAGAAGAAAACATCAATCTTGCAGTGAAGGAAAAACAGTTTCAAGAACTGCAACAGAAAATCAGAATGGTATTTTGGATTTTAAACAAATTCAAGTTTTGGTGAATATTTTCTGTTCTTCATTCAGCAAACCTCCTGGCAATGATCTCTGATGGATACAGATTAGTGATTCCTTTCTACTATATTGCATATACATTATAATTAATCTGTTTCCACTATAAACCTTTCCTAGGAAAATAATTGTGCTATTGAATATCAGTATAATTTCATAGTAAAAAAATGGGTAAGGTGACATTAAAAAAATAATTCAGTTTCTTTAAATAACCTCATGATGATTCACTATATCACATTCATACTATATTGTTAAAGAAAATAGTGATTTTAAATGCCTTTTACTGTTCTTCATGTTCTTTTCTTTTTTTAAGGAGACAGCAGTCAGTAAAAAAGTTCAAGAAGAAAACACTCACATTAAAGAAGAAAAGCTGGTGAGTTGTTAATACAGCTTCACTATTTAAAAATCACTAAAGAATGTAGGTGCTATATTTCATAGGTTTCTTACTGTACTAAGCTACAAAAACTAGTTAATTTCACTTGTTTACACTTCAGAAATATTTTAATACTGTCCTAAGTGGTATCTTACTGCTAAGTTTTTAGAAAAGGTATTACCAGAACAAAGTCCATTGTTTGACACTTTATTCCAAGTCTTACATTTTGTCTTTGAATACAGACGGGGGAAATTTGGTATTCCCATGAAACACTTGTCTACATGTGGGTTCAGTATAAATAAGCAGTAAGGCTAGCATAAAATGCTGTTCTGCTTTCTGGTTGCCAGCAGTTTATTCTAACATTGCTGGTATTGAAACCAGGTAAAATGGGAATCATGTCAATGGTGCACGAAGGAAATGATGTTCCATTCATACAGAGCATAAACATTTAGACTATTAAGCAACACGTTTATATCCCTGAACAGAGTTAGGACTGTCTTCTCTTGCTAACTCAGGTATATTCCAGAAAAAATCCTTTATAAAAAAAGGCTGTGGAGTCAATTATCAAATGTAGCAAAAGAAATTTTTGTTCACCTTAATCACAACATAAGGCACTGCTTTACAGAACATGAAGTGTGAAAAGGGTGGTTGGTTTTTTTCATTTTCTTGAACAATTGCAGAACTTTCACTCTGCAGTTCAGTAAAGGAAACAGGTCAGAGAAGTGTATCATTCTTGGTGCCAGGGAGGGACAAAAGCAGTATCTTGCTGGCATGCCCATAGAGCACTCATCCAGCAGCACTCTTCCAATTTATAAAAGCCTGCTTGCATTTTGAGCTTACTTTTAAAAAATACTTGCCAATAAAAACATGGATAAAAATGAGAGATGTACTCAGGCCTCATTACTCTCCCAGCCCTGAGTGCACTAAAAGGATTTCTGTGGAGATGAATGGAGCATAATTTGTGGAGCATATTTGCTGTGTTATCTAAGAGAAGGATTCTGGTTTGCATCTCTCTCCTGTTCTGTGTGAATTGCTAGGGTTTGTTTGGTAGGTTAGTTTGAACTTATGGAAGGGTTTGGTGTATTCTGGAGAGGGCTCTAATGTAGAGATGAGCTTCATGTTTCCTCCAAGTGTTTGGGTTTGAAGACATGGATTTCTGTGTTGTGGAGCACTCATAATTCACCTTGATTAACTGAAATGTTGGCTTCAGTGGTTCTTGGACTTAGGCTAGAAATACCATCTAAAGTACAGCTGATTTGTACTAAACTCTGTGAGAAAAGCAGGCCTATTTGAGAGAAAACTGTCCTAGATTTAAAGGATGTGGCCAGCTCTTCTACTGACCTCTTGGATGACAATGGCCAAGCAATTCCCCACCTCTGCAGTTCAGTCTTCTGGATGTAAAATCGAACTAAAAATAAATTAACCTTCAGTGAAAAAAATACTATTTATACATGCATGAAAAGAAATTGAGAGTACACTAAAATACTGGTTTTATTTTTATTAGATAGCTGTATCTTTTTATCCAGTAGAACCAAAACTAGAATAATTTGAAAACACTTTGCAAGTACGTCAAAGTACTTGTTTTAATAATATGTACACCTCTCAATGTATTTTGAAGCAACTGAGCACATCTAAGATTCCTTTCTACCTGAAACTCGGGTTTTTTCTGTGTCTTCTTTTAGTAACTCTGTAAGTGGCCTTGAGGGGGTGATGATTGGCTTGTCTGGGTCATTCACTCTGTCTTTCAAACCTTGGAAATGTGTTTTGTAGTGTTCAAAAAAATTGGCTCAGTTTCCAGCAGACTGCAACACACTTCATGGCAGCACTCACAGCACCTTCATCAACTCAAATCAGCTCACTTTGGGTGCCTTTGTTTTTTGTACAATTTCCCCTTCATGAAGTAACAGTACAGTCTTGAGGAAGGTACCACAAAAGTTCAGACCCTGACAGTAAGATGTGATATAGCTGCACCATATGATGAAAAGCTAATGGGTGGTGCTTCACATCTATTAGGATTTAATTCAGAAGACACAGAATAATTTCATGTTAGGGTGATCCATTTATGGAATAATTTCTTTTGGATTTTCCATGTTTTTCAGACCTGTGATATGGTAAGATAGTTATTCTGTTTGTCCTGAATAGAAATCACAGTGGGATTGGTATATTTTGATATATTTGATATATTTTATCCAGATTTGCACTGATGTATAAAGATTGGGTCGATTTTATTTTAACAATAGGAAAATTTTCTGAAAAAGAATATTATAATAGTTTATAATAATGTTAACTTCTCCAAGGTAAAAGGTCAGAAAAATGGGCGTTGTTCTGATTTCTCCCTACAGGTTTTCCCCAATGTTGAGGTTGGAGTAGCTTTTTTGCAGACATGATTTTGTAAACACTGACAATTAAAAAAAATTAATATAAAAGATATAAATTATGTAATGTTTAAACTTCAGAAACAAAATCTTGCTCAATATATTCTATTCTGTTTGTATTAATAAGGAAATTCTCAGCTCTCTACAGTGTGTGCAGGAGCTGCTTCAGCGAATAACCCAAACGAATGTTAGAATGGAAAGTGAATTAAAAGCACTGAAAGAAGACTATCAGGTCAGATTTTTCTCAATTAGACAAGCTGTTACTATCTGTTATGTATTTTCTAAGTCCAGGGCTGTTAAAGACATCCGTGTGCCTTTCAGAACTTTTGACCTCACTTCCATTGCTCCCTCAGCTCCTTAACTGTCAGCACGAGCCTTGAAGCACAGGCTGTGCTTTCCCTCTTCTCTCCCTAAAGTAAATCATGGTTGCCATTCTCAGCAGCTATTTCTAAAGGGCAAAACCAGAACAAGGTTGCTTTCAAATACTGAAATCAAATTATTTTATGACTTCTGTTTCTTGTAATTTTCATATAGGTACACATTTCTGGGCGACATTTCAGATTTCAGATCTTCGTTCATAGCTGGACCTTCTCCTCAGTTTAATAGTACATTAAAGCAGAGGGCCTAAGAAAGAGCATTACCTTTAGCCCTTTCTTGCTGTGTTTTCTGGCATCATATTTATGCTAGAAGTGGGAAGTAGTCATGCTGGAGAGTGTGGAGTTGCAGCACTCCTCAGTTCCCCTTTGTCTTAGCTTAGGGCAAATTTCAGGAGGAAACTTTTGAAGTGGTCCCTTAAGAAGCAACTTCAAGTGGCCTCTCCTCCCACCAGTTCAGGAGACATAAATTTCCTGTGAGAAAAGTGGAAAAAAATTATTTATTTAACAAGCAAGGTATTCACAAACATGAAAAAAATGAATAATATTAAACAGTAAAACTTCTCAATGTTCTGAAGATTTGGCAAATTCAGAAAGTCTTTCTGAAGTTCAGGGTCCTTTTTGTGGGTGTGTCTTCAGTTTTTTCTCAGTCTCTCTGGGCTCGGGGTGTAGCTTGGGGTGCCCCAGACAATAGACCTGGTGGTACTGGACTGAACAATAGCTGAACAGTTCCTAAGAACTTCTGGCCTCAGATAACTAAAGCAAACCAACTAATTAAAAGCAAAGGAGAGTTCTCTTCTGCTGTCCATGCTGCAGGCAACACAGTGGGTGTGGATTCTTCACTTGCTTTTCCTGCCAAGGTTAGGATTAAATGTGTGAGAAGGTATTTCTTGTTGGGACTCAGATGTTTATTGGTTCTTATTCTACAGTCTCACGAACTGTGAGTTTTACAGCACTTCTCTCTAGCAAACTAAAAATGGAGCTGTATCTCTCTCTCTACAAGGCCTTTTAAGGATGAACTGTCCAGTTAAGAAATTACACCCAAATTATTTTTACTTTTAACCCAAGAACCAACCACCCATGCCCTGCAATGTGGACTTTTTTATCAAATTACACAAAACCACCCAAACCCATGGAGAAGAAGGTGAAGAAGGACCACCCACCCTAAAACTTCTATCTTGCTTTATATATATTACTATATTCTAAACCCTTAAACTCTAAGTTTTCCACCCTGTGATATCACACACTTCTATTCAAACTCCACACCCACAATCCCAGTTCTGTCATTCCATTTTGGAAGCCTTCTCCACGGCCTCAGGTCATTGCAGTGTTCTCTTGGGGCTCAGTGCCTGCCAGCACAGAAAGTCTGAAATCCTCAGTAACGAGGGATCCAAGTGGGTGAGAAGGATGCAGGGGAGCAAGTGCAGTTTCTGCAGGCAACCTGCATGCTGCTTCTCTCCCCCTTCGCTCTCAGAACCAGTCTTGAAGGTGTAGAACTTAATATTCAGCATAAACAGAACAGATGACTGGGGCTTCAAGCATCATAAAGTCACTCTAGGACACTCTTTCAGCATGTAAAAGCAGCTCAGAACAGTTCAGATTCCATATTTCAATAGCGGTCAGTGCACTGAAGATTAAGGTCATATCCATTCTCATCAGAGTTACCATGCAGAGTTCAGGTACAATCACTGTCTGGACTGTTAAAAATTTTTAGCTACTGTTTGCCCAGACATAACCACAACTGTTCCACTCTTTGAAGCCAAGGTTTTGAACTAGGAGTTCAGTTAATTTCAAATTGAACTTCCAGTGTGAATGTATACTTTTGTTTCTAAATAAATGCTTCTATGCTAATTTGAAAGCATTCACTTTACTCTTAACCTGTGTAAGTAGTTTGCTTTCTGCCACAATATAAACACAGGACTTTTGTATTTGATGAAGCAAGTACGGCCGAAGGTGAGCTATGTTCTCTGTAAGAAAGTAGCTAAAACCTCCCTAGGAATTAAAGCATCTGCAACATTTTTACAAAGATTAACTGAATTAGGCTGTAGAATTGCCTAAAGTAGCATGATGTTCTGTAGCTTCTGTTATTTGAATATTAGGTCCAGTGAAACAGCTGGATTACTTGCTATCGATACAGTCCTGGTTTTTGTTAAAAGTAAGAAGGTAATGTGCTTTTTATTTTTAAGATAATTGGAATTTCTTTGGAGATTAAAACAGAGGCTGGAGATAATTAATGTATATAACCCTACTGGTGATGACTTTCATAATACAGGAACCCTTTAGTCCTTTGTGTCAGGACTATTGAATAGCAAGTCTATTTTAAAGTGCCTTTTTCTGATAGCATTTCTGAGCTATTGTTTCCCCTCTCAGATGAAGTTTATAGTATGCCTTAAAGCTCCAGCTAAAACAGTAAATGGTATCTCTGAATCTTCTCTTTGAAGACTGCACATAAATGTCTACAAGTATGGCTTGTTTTCCTTCTTATTAAGGTATGGATGGAGGACATGTCTCTGTTTTGCAGCCTGTGCATGCCAAAAATTGATTTCTGGTTGCAATTATGCTAATTCTGATGGCAGCCTGCTCTGATTTGGGTCTGTTTGTATTAGACATTGGGAAGGTATTACTGTTTTCAATTTTTCTAACTACAGCACAAACCACTGCTGGTCATCAAAGCTTCAGTGCAGTCCTCAAAGGTGACTTCAGGCATAAATACTTCAGATGAAATGGCTGTTACAAGGCATGGGTAACCAGTATGAGGCTCTTGGTTCAACCTTCATTACTTAAAGTGGTGTAAATAGACCCTTTTTTTCAGTTTGATACAATTACCATGATATTCCAAGGAATGAGACAATGTTAGCTTCTTATTTTGCATTTTTGCCTTTTTTTTTTTTAATAGGGAGCTGAATATATTACTTAAAAAATTATATTCTTAAACAGATGACAGAATACTTGAGAATGCAAGGAATTCAGGTGTTCCTGTCTGTACAACTGGCTTTAACATGTGATCAGTTCCATACATCTGCTGCTTCTGAGATTTGCCCTAAGAGTTGTGCTGTGAATAACTATAATCATCCATCACCAAGGAGGTTGCATTTCAGGTGCAAGTGAAAGCATCCTTGGAGTTAAGAGCAGCTTCATCAAAGAGAGGTGGTCTTGGATTCCTGATTTATACAGCTGGATGAAAGAGTCTACATCAGGGTGGGATTATTCAGACAGTGTATGGCTGAATTGACCCATTTTTGGAAATACATAATCTGTCAAAGAAGATCCATTATATTCTTATGCACAACTTTTCCCATGTGTACAAAAGTCCAGGGTGGTTTGAATTTTCCTTCTGTTAGTAGCTGTAAAATATAATTTTTAGTAGTGTAGCTAAATTAACATAGACATTTTTAAATTGGAGCTAAGTGAATCAACAAGTGGACTCATTTTTGATTAAAAGATTTAGTAAAAAAGACTTGGTTTGGAGTATTGCCCCCATAACATTTTTCAAGTGGACTTTCAAAGAAGCTCAGCAGAATCATAAATATGTAGCTGGTAATACAGCTCATGCATTCCAGTTGTGCTTACATTGTCAAATATATTTGTGTCATCTATATAGCAGGTAATGGAATGCAGTGACTCTTATCTTCCATATTGTTTGCTATAAAAATATGATAGGATAAAAATTCCAAGAATACCTGGTACGTGTGTGAAGTTGCTGCTGATTTACACAAGACTCCTTTAATTTAGCACAGGAAAGCTGAAAGAGTTAGCCCAAAACTGTTGCAAGTACAGTTACGGTGTTATAAAACTTAATATTATTGTTATTTCAATGCACTCCTCTTTCAGGGACCAAATAAAAATAAATTAAAGTATAATAAGATATGTCCTTCATGTTGCAGTAGATATGTTTTAGAATGTAAAGATTGTATAGTTTATAAGAGAGGTTAATAAACAATTTAGGACAGAAAAACTGATTATAAAAATATTTTTTTTCCCTGGCAGTATACAGTAGTTTTTTCTTTAAGTACAGTGGCTCTGGATTATGCTACATTTCATATCTCTCATCTCTGGACTTTATATTACTTTTTCAGCACATTAAAACTTATGCAGTGAAACTGAATAATGGCAAGTGTTTTTATACCCTTTTATAGCCATTTCTTTTTTCATAACCTCCCCCTGTTTCTGTTAGCTAAAGTATAAGCACCTTTCTGTTAATTTATGAAAATTATTGTTGAGATAGCACATTATCACTGATCTGTATGGCACTTGCAGCATGTTAGAAGCAAAGGTCCAAGCAACATAAAACACATCAAAATTCATTAATGTGGTATTGATTATTTTTTGGATAATTAATTTTATTGCAGGCCCTTGAAAGAGATAATGAGCTGCAAAGGGAGAAGGCAAAGGAAAATGAAGAAAAGTTCCTTAATCTTCAGAATGAGCACGAGAAGGCACTAAGAACTTGGAAAAATGAGGTAGGTTTATTAAATTAAATGCTTTAGTATGAAGAGTTTTTTGGAATAGTTGTCAAGCATTTCAGGTAATCTCTAAAAGCCAAGGAAATATCGCAGAAATAATGCAATAAAAACAACTCATTTCTTCTCCAGTAATACAGATACTTCTAGAAATGAATATTTTTTCAAGGTAGATTTAGGTTGACTTCTGTGCTCTAAAAGGTCAGTGCTCTTCCTGCAGTTCTGGTTTGAAAGGAATTCTTCAGTGTGGACTGAGGGTGAAAGGGGATAAGAAAAGGTGTGTGTCTGCTATGTCCCCCTAGTGAATTCACCTCTGTGGACACCTAAACAATAGTTTGTCTTCTATATTTGACATTCTTTCTATTACCTCATTACTTTTATAGAATACCTCAGTAATTATTTAATCCTAAACAATTAGCAAAATATTGTAGCTGTAAAAATTGTCTGCAATAATAAATGCATGTTTAGATGTAGGAAAGATTAATACCCCTTCAATAAGACAAGATCTGCTTAATGTGTGGAAACCAGACTCAGCAGCATTTGTTTAATAGTCTGTCTTTTTTATTTCTATGTGCTTGGCACTTGCTGCCAGAAAGGTTTTGATTTTGGTAGATAGATTTCCAGGGGAACTGTGGGGAAATAATGCAAAGTTGTCCTTGTAATTCTGTTGTCTAAGGCTCACTCCTTTGAGTTGAGCGCAGCCACTATAGGGATGACTGCAACCATGAGACCACAAAATAGCTGAACTGTTCTGATGCTCAGTTCCCTGAGAAGATTTGATTTCCCTGATCCCTTGGAGAATTTTATACCATAATTTCCTCTATAGATATGGGAATTTGCCCTGCTTATTTCTCAGGAACATTTGCATCTGTCTGTAGAAGACAATTGTTATTCCTTTTCATATTTCTGCTATGGCTAACTAGAAGTTTTGTCTCCTAAAGTAAACAATCAAGGATAAAGTTAACACTGGTCCAGAAATCTCTGTAAATTAAGTGAAAGTATTGCTGTAAAATTGCCCTTTGATTCTTTTTACAAGTTGTAGTTTGGACCATTCAGTTAGTTCTAAATGCAGAAATTTAATTGTTACCTATTTTCTGAAGGAGGATTGGATACTTGAGGCTCTTTACAGTAGTGTAAATTATTTGCTGTTGTGCTTTCTTGACAAGGTAGGTAGAGAATGAATATTGAATATTATATTTATCTTGACAAGGTAGGTAGAGAATGAATATTGAATATTATAAAAGGAAGAAAGCTACAAATACAAATACCGCTTTTTTGGAGTATTGCTACTACAAGTAAATGGTGAAAAAAAAAATCCCAAACCAGATAATAAAAGCTATAATCTGTAATGGTAATGTGGTTAAAATTTTGGTTGAATGGAAGAGCTCAATTACTTTGTACAAAGAAATTCCTTAGCATACTTTCTTTTAAGGATGGCGTTTCATTTGCTAAGCTGTTCATACCTTTGAAAAATGCTGGTTTACCCATTTGAACATGCAGTAAAGTGTTTGTGTGCTCTGTGTACTTGCAATTATTACAGGAGGAAAACATGAGAAGAGAAATACACACTATTAAAAATGAGCTGAATTCCCTTAAAGGACTTCATAGACATCTTGAAGATTATCATCCTCCTCCAGGAAATCAGCATTCCGAGCAAGTGGAAAATCTGCAGGTAAGTGTCTTCACTAGCTGCAGTGTGTCTTGTAAAAATCCCGGAGAACTAAAGATATGACAGTTTTTTTAATCCTGTCTGTCGTGTCCACTGATCCTCCTTTGACATGGCTCAGCCTAGAAATTTATGTGACAATAGCCCTAAATATCATTGAAACTTCCTGTGCCCACAGAAGGTTCTCCTTTCATCAAGAGAGGTGTTTATAGTACAGAATCCTGAGATACTACTTCATTAATAAATTTTTGCCTAACAGACAGCAGTTAACTTAAGCAACCTATGTTTACTAAACCCTATTTCCCATTTTCCATGGGTATTTCTCAAATACTGGGGCAGATCCAATTGACTTCATGTAAGTTCCCTGGAGGTGTGGAAGCAGCTCCACCTCTACTGAGAGGAACTAATTTCAGCTTGTCTGAAATCTGTAACAGGGGACAGATCAGAAGCTGTTACCAATACACAGGTTATCTAAGTGCTTCAGTTTTAGTGTAAGAAACACCGACCTTTATGTCACACAGCATGTTTAGGAGTCATCAAAGGCACAGTGAGCTCATCAGGTGGTGAATGCAGGAGGTAAAAGACTTTCAGCCTGAACTAGAATTGAGCTTGGATTGTTGGGTGAGCCAAACCCATGTTCAGCTCCAGGTGCTGGGCATATATGGGAAGTCAACAAGTGGTTAAGAACACAAAGATGGGCTTTTGGAACAAAAGGAAGACCACTTAGCAGCTCTGTGTTATCCCATGATCCCTGCAGCTATACATATAGATATAACAGATCCCTCTGTTATATCCCCCGCAGCTCTGTGTTATCCCATGATCAAACTGGATTGCAAATTTGTACTCCAGCCTTCTGTGAGATTGAAAAAATTGAGCAGAGTCAGAAGCCATAAGAAACTTTCTCTGTGCATTGTGGTCTGTTGTTCTGTTGAGTATTTTCCATTATCTTTTACAAACAAGTAATGGTCTGTGTTCAAAGAACAGAAAACCCATTTTTCATGTATACAATCTTGTTTGTAGTGTTAAGAAAATAGGAAGACACTGGGACTGTAAACACAGGTAACTATTTTAGAGCTAGTCCATGAATTGTCAGTAAAATGACAAGCAGTAAAAATATTTTAGGATTTGGAAGAATGTAAAATCAATTTCTTTTCAATGCACAAACATACACATATACATGGCTGTGGTATGGGCTTAATAATGCAAGGGAAATTAGATTTGAAATGATTACTCATTGTGCCAAAGCTGAACTCTACAAGGAATTATGCAAATTGTGTATCTTAAAAATCACTGGTTCCTTGAATGGAAAAGTAATATTGATTTTGTTTAGGATGCAGAATCAAAGTGATAAGGCATTCATGATAAACAGTACTGGTGCTTACTAACATAACCCCATGGCTTTGAAAGCAGAAAAGCTTAAGGCATATGCTCATAAATGCAAAAGAAGTCAGATGTCTTCCAAATATACATCTTACACTGTTTTATGGCAAATTGCCACACCACTTTGTGTTGTACAATCATTAGATTTCCAAAGCTGGGCAGGTTGGACTGAGTGGAACACTGCCAAGAAGCTGCAGCAGATCATATTGGTTATTCTGATTTGTGGAATTTCACCTTGTATCACTAATGAGTCAGCCTCTAGTGACACATAAAAGGGAAAGGTGTTGTCTTGAATTTAGATCTTGACTGTGGTTCCAAGTGTTCTAAGGAAATATGCTTATACTTATTTTTACACCTAGTGCAATCTGAAATCCCTGTGGTTATTTGTGGGGCATGAAATCCAGAATGTATTTAAACTTCTTCACACTGATCACCTCTGGAATAGTAATTAAACAAAAGGCATTTTTAAAAGAAAGGTACAGTGTCAGACCTCATTACAAACTTGGATTGCAATTTAGTTTAACCTTACCATGCTTCACATTTAGTTAGATACAGTTTGTAATTCAGATGCGTGCCATTAGAGAATAGGGTTACAGCCACCAATGGCTTGCTGTAATTCATTTGTGGGTGTATGTACAGGAAGATCTGTTTTCAGAAGGGCTTGAATTTCATACTATGAAATAGTCTGTTGAGGGAGAGGATACTTAGGGATACATGTGTTTCTTTGTTAGATTTTACTAAATCACAGGCAAAACATTAAAATCCAAGTTTAAAAGTTCTGTTTTTTAGGTGTTTTAGTTTGTCCATCTTGGACCTATTTTTTTAAGGGCTGAACCATTTGAATTTATTGAAAAGCAGGTTTCTTCAACCCCATCTCAAAGCCTGGAATGGAAACATGAAACCTTTCTGCCTTTCTGTGAACACTTTGTCCTGTTTATTTCAGATGCAGTCACCAGCTCAGCCCATACCAGCAAATGTGGTAAGTTGCACTGCACTGGCTGTCTTACTACTGTACAAAAGAGCAAGGTGCACAGTTAGAGAGGGGTGCTTGGTGTTTCTGTCTGAAGAAAGAGCTCCTAGAAACAAAAGATTGTAAGATAATTACAGATTTCAGGAAAGAAAAAGGAAATTTCTACTATTTGTGTTCCAAAAGCTTGAAAGCGTGATGCCAGGGCTTATAGAGCAAGGAAGCAAAGTTAATTAAAAACCTAGAAAAAACCAGATGCAATATATACAATTTCCAAGTGTGACAGGGAAAATGATGATAAAACATGAGGAAAAGAGAGAAAAATTTCAACTGAAACTTCAAATTGAGGGTCGAGGAAAATGATTTGAGGACCCTCCTCTATTTATCATGACCCCTCCCTCCCCCAAACCAGCCAAGCTGGGAGCATCAGGATGTTCCTGTGACCTGTAGGAAACTGTTTCTGGCAGATTTGTGTTCTACATCCCCTACTCTGCCCGCACTGCAACAGCCCCATTTTTTAGCAGTGCTGTCTCCCTGCCTCCCTCCACTCTGCAATATTCTCTGTCCTCCCCACACTCCCAGTGCCCAAGCACAGCTCTTGTAACTCCCTCCCACATCCCAGCCTTCCTTCTGCAACACCTCCAGTCACCCAAGTATCTTCAGCTCTTTCCCACATCTTTTATGGACTAAGCTCCCTCCCACATCTGCCTATTTTATTTCCTATCTTTAGGGCAAGAGCCAGCACGTGCTCCTGTCTTCAGCTGCCAAACAGTTGATGATGATAAAGGATGCATCTCCTTTTGCCTTTATTTTGGTGGGATTTTATTATCTTCACTATTCAGGCCCTAGTTTCCACAGAACTTCACTGACTGCAGCTTTCAAAACTGAACACAAATACAGATGCAGTAGTAGACCAGTGATTTAGACTTCTAAGTAGACAAATCTTTCAGACTTCTAGTCTTGTTGAATTTGACTCAAATTCATGTTAAAAAGCTATTTAGGAGGGAATGAGGAACTAAATGTCAGGGATTGTAAATTCAGAAGCCTTATTTGCCTGTGAAATGAAGTTAAAAGTCCTGGGCATTTTGCTAGAAAAAAACGTTGTTTGTATGTGCATGTGTTGTTTTTGTGTGCATGTTGTTTATGTGTTTGGGTGTAAACAGCAGTCATGCAGGCTTTTTGCCCATGGAATTACTGAGTGGGTCACTGTGTGGGCCAGCAGAGAGAGGGAGAGATCCAATCACCACATGTACAACACAAATTCCTTCCACTGAGGAATTCTGTCAAATGTATAACTTTGTGCACTGTAATATAGCAGGACCTGAATTCTTTCCTACTCTTCTAGGGTATTAGTCTGCTTTTTTCTTTTCCTCTGTTTACATTTACCTTTTATGCCTAAGGTCTTTGTTTTCCATCAGAATGGTAAAATTAATTTTAAGTCTCAGTCCTGAACTTTTTACCTAATCAGTGACTATAGTAAATTACTAAAATACCTATAATCTTTTGTTCCTTCCTATGCTAGAGTAGTGAAGAACACACAAAATGCAGTGAAATACAGGCTATTCAGAAAGAACATGAGTTTATGCAGTCTGTAATAAGAAAATATGATAATGGTGGAAATGAAGAAGAAACTGAAGTAAAAACCACAAGGGACCAGTCTTCAAGCATTGAGGAATTAAAGATAGAACAAAGTAATAACCTTGCATGGATAATAGAGATAAGTAGTATTGTTAAGAAAGGATAAATATTTTCAGATATAGTATATGACAAAAGAGGGCTTAAATTCTGAATTAAATGGTCATATCTAAAATCTACACAATGTTAATATATTCCCTACTCTCTCAGTTTGTAAATATTTTACAAGTGGCCATAGCGCAATACTTACCTTCAGTGACTTTTTGACAGGCTTGTGTGTGTAATATAAGATATCAGTATTGATACCGATCCTGAGTCCACCTCTTTGGAAATTCTAAAATTTCCAAAACATTTATTTTATTTATTTTTCCAAAAATGGAAAAATAAAGCATTACATAACCTCTGGGTTATCAGTCACTAACTAGAGAATACCCTCACTCTACAGGGCCACAAGTTCTTGAGAACAGTTTTAAGGATGAAATTAATGTTGCTAGCCCTTGTGAAGTAAAGCAAAGGGAGGCTGCTTCCAGGAGCACCCTCTGCACAGATACTGATTTAATTACCCAAGGACACACCTGGGAAATGCATGTCCCTGGATGCAGAGAGGCAGAAGGAACAGCACACAGAACATCACCAGATGAAAACAATGCAGATTCAGATCAAAAGCCACAGGACAGCACTGAGCCTTTGGCAGCACACCACACACAAACAAGGAAGGACTTTTTGGGCAGTGCTGACAATGTAGGTGCTGACAGGAAAAACAGAAGTCAGGAGACCAACACCAGCAAGGAAGAACTGTGTAATACTGGAGATGAATCAATTTGTGCCAAGGCAGATGCAAAGTCAGACAGCAGACAGCACAACAGAAGTGTCCTCACACCTGAAGCATCCAAACCTGAGTCTGAAGCTGTTCTTTGCACTGAGAAGAGTGCTCTGCATGACAGAAGTACAGACAACCACCAAGCTAAGGAGTTAAGTTCTGGCATCCTACCTTACACTACAGAGAATTCTCAAGCAGAATACCAAAAATGCAGCTTGCTAGATAGTGGCAATTCTGTAGGCAGTGGATTGCATAAAACAGAAAAAAACTTAAATCTGAGTGGTTTACCTAGAGATAAACTTCCTCTGAAACAGACACCCGTGGATGCTGAAGGCAGAAATGATGACAGTACCAGAAACATGAACAGCACTGGTGTTCTGGCAAGTGATGCTCAACAGCCACCGACTGCTTGTTGTGATAACACAAGTGCTGATGATGCTGCTGCAAAAGAATGCAGAGATAAAAAGTCTCTCTTAGGTACTTTTAATTTATGCCCCCCAAAAACGGAGAGAGGAATAAATGCAGATGACATGCACAGCAAGCAACCTGAACAAAGCAGTGCTAAACAAACAGGGAATGCTACAAACACATGGACTTCCAGTGCTGGAGCCAAATCTCCAGTAAAGGCTGATGGTCTTGAAATTGCTCACAAAACCCCCCCAGCAGATAAGGCATGTACAGATAAACTAATTCCACATAAAAATGTTAACAATGGTACTCAGATACACTCCATCAAAACTGGACATTCCCTGGAGATTAATACTTCAACAAATAACACATTGTTAAAAGAGAAAAAAGACTTGCTGAGTAGTACAGTTCCAGGAATGAAGCTTGCTGAGGGTCACCTGAAAGAATCATGCTCTTTATCCATGAGAACATCTGGAAATTTAGTAAACGTAAGTGTAAGGTCATCCTTTGATCTTCCCACCTCAGATAAAAAAGCTGAGAAAACTCCACTATACTTGAATTTTTTAGCTCTCAGTTCTTGTTCAAGAGTAAATCAAATGAGAGGTCAAGCTACATGGACTTCAGCTACGAAGGAGTTTTCCCTTTTGAAAGACAAACCACCATGCTTAGTGGAAAACACAAACATTATTTCAAACACACAGAGTCAAGGTCTCAGTGAAAATGGGAACAGTGGAGAAACAAGACAAGGTAAGAAAATATAAGCATTAATGTTCTGAACCATGTAGTGCTTAGAAAAAATTATTAAACTGTGACATTTCTATATCTAAGCTTTGTGTAGAAAAGTATAAACCTGACATTTTAGTTATATCACAAAAAGGTGAGATTGCTCTGTTTATGCTACAAATGCAACTTAACAGTTTTTCTTAGCTTATTAATCAATTACTTGATTAATTTTTTTCTCATATTTCCTTTTGTAAAAAAACAGCAGTGCAATGACAAATGGAATTTTGATAGGCGTTTCTAACCCTAATGTACCGCATATTCTATCAGGGCTCTGCATGGATCTGAAAAGCACTGAGCAGCTTTTGCAAATTATTCAGTGTTCTCATTTTGCATCAAAATTTGGGTAGATTTTGAACCAGTAGATACTTCTTTGAATGGGTCTTACAGAAATTTACTTTTTATTTTATTGTGCATCTCTAATTTAGTGGACCATTAAAACCATCTGAATGTGTTGAGTGTGTGAAAGGAGTTTGTATTCTGTCAGGCTGTGGAAAACACAGAGCTTGAGGTGCTCAAGGAGCATTATAATCTCCTGCTATTGACACTTGGTTATTTGTTGAGCAATATTTTGCACATACAAAATAGCAAATATGAACTTTATTCCATGGGTTTCTAAATCATTACTGAGATGTGGAAAGTCTGTATTTTAGATTGGTTTTGCAATAAAATGAGCTGGTAATTACCCCAAAACTAGAGCCCTGGGTGTTAGATGTTTTCCAAAGAGCCGGGTGTTTGTGTCTATAGAGTTTTTATTGGTGCAGTTTTCACCTTTGGGCCTTGAACATACCAAGAGCAGAGTGGACTCCCATCCTTAGTCTGTAGCCAGTGGCAGACAGAAACCCAGCAGTCTGGTTTCTTTACATTGCTCTGTTGTTATGAATTTAGCTCTGTAGGTAATTTTGTTGCTGTCCTTGGTCTCCTGCCCATGTTCAGATGCACATTTTTTGAAGTTCAGTTTCAGAAATGTCTTTGTGCCTAAAACAGCAGTAGTGGTAGCAAGGTAGCAGAATCCTGATCTCAGATGGCACGTTATTTCTTTTAATAATGTGAATTTTGGTATCTGTTTCAGTAAAATGAATGCCTAGTTCATGATGTTCTGCATGTATCTTTTCTGTAAGAACAGACAGAGCTATCTAAATTTCTTCCCTGTGAGTTTCTCCTCCTCTTCTTGTCACAAACCTTTCTGTATGCAAAGTAGTGGAACTCCAAGTGACTCTGAGAGGTTCTGAGAGATTCATCCAAAGGAATTGGTAGGGAAGTAACTCCAGTCCCTCAGCTGAGTTGCCTAGTGACCAGATCCCTTGAATTCCAGCAAACCTCCATGGTGAGGGTCTTGGTCTGTGTCCCAGATGTGCCTCATGCTGCCAAATTGAGACAGGTCCCTCCTTGAGCCTGCTGTCCTCTGGGAGTGCTGCACCTCCTTGGGAGAGTGGAGAACCTCCCTGTGAGGGCTCTTACAAGTCACTGCAGCTCCCAGTGTTTGCTGTGCTTGGGGTTTGTGTTGTTTTGTTTGCAGATCTCTTCCCAAATGGCAGACCTGCAGTGGGAGCCATGTGAACACTGGACCTACACTTTAAATCTTTTTTTTTGACTGACTGGAGCACAAACCATTTAGCCATATGGGAGAGCTAGAGGTGAAGAGAATTGGTGAAAGAGTTGAGTACATCTATCTGAGGGAATTCCTTCTACTGCCTAACCACATTGCCATTTATTATTCAAACACTGGTTCCCAGAGAGCAGATACTCCACATCAGTAAATGAAGGAATGAACTGGGAATGGGAAAGATCTTCCTGGCAGATGCTTAAAAAAGAAAATAAACACATAACCATTTTCCTCTTCCTCCCAAGGGAAAATGTCAGTATTCTGAAATAACTGTTACATAACCATGAGGTAACATGTATTTTCATAGCAAAAGAAGGTTTTACTGTCCATGCAGTGGTCCACAGGCATCTGTGTAGTGGCAAAACAGCTCCTGTTTGTACTGTGAGGAACTGTGAAAGCATCCTTGTGTTTTCATCTTGCAAGGAATTTGATATTGCTTGCAACAGAATCTACTGGTGCTGCATGAAGCCTCTGAAGGACTTACACTTGTCTGTGATTAATCTACTCACCTGCCTTTCCTACCTTTAGAAAATGGCTATTGCCTGACCACCTGAAACATCAGATAGAGCCATTAAAGACTCTATCAAAGACTCCTAATCAAAAATGTTTTTTGATTGTCTGAAAAGCTTTGTATTCATGTCTTCTTTTGTTATAAGTCACCCTGGAATATCATGTTACAATGGTATTAATTATGCATTTTATTATTGTTATCAGACAGTGAGTTTAAAGTAATAGTGTTTGAAACAATATGTTCAGTTAGAATATTTAGAATACATACACTTACTATAAATCACTTTTCTGTTATTAACTTAATATGTGAAAATGAGAGAAAACATTTTTAATACCTCATCTTTAGAGAAAAAATAGATGAAGCATGTGAAAGAAAAAATGAAGGGCAAAAGCCAACAACAAAGATTCAGGGATTTAAACCAAAAATATTTGATTTTTTAAGATCAGAGGTAAACCAGTTTAGTCATTCACAATTAGTGCCTGGAGACTAAATTGCAGTTGTTACCATTTCCTTTTTGTCAATCAGGTTCTAGCAGTTTGAGCAGAGCTGCTGACACTCTGAATACCTCCAGTATTCACCAAGAGCCCCAGGGAGAGCGTAGTGAAGAATGGAATGCTACAGCAAAGGCTTTTTATGATTCTTCTTTTCCCACAGAACATGTAAGTCAATTAAAAATATTGCAGACCAGACCTCAGTGAGCTAATTCCACAGATATTTGTACAACTGTACCCATCTGGATACTTTAGGGCTGAGTCAATCTCCAAAATAATATCAAAAGGGCAACAAGACACCATTTTTCACAATTAAGGTTGATAGAAAGCAGCAGGAAAAAGTCACAGCATATGAATCAAACAGATGCTAACCAGTCTGTTTGGGAGGGGAGGAAGAGGCCTAGTCTATTGTGTACCCTAATAAAAATCATCACCTGCAGTAAAAGTAGAAGTTAAAAAAAAAAAAAAAGGAAAATAGTAGTATGTAAAAGTATAAAAACATTGTTTCCTCCATTACTTGATAAGACCATGTAATTTAAAAGAATCCATGGAGGAATAAAAATTCTGCACATCTGTGAATTAGAGCCTATCCATTTATCACACACTGTAGTTATGTGATGCCCTATTCAGAGTGATGTTATTTTGTAGGGTAACATCACACAAACATGTAAAAACCTGCTGTTTCCAATGACTCATCACTGCATTTTCAGATCTGTGTTAGACTCTGGAGCTTGAACAGCTCTAACTGCTCTATCACAATTTGTTGAATGTATGGTTCAAAAGTGATACAGCAATTTACAGCTGCACCTGACATTTCCTCTTCCTAGAGGAGGTTCTGGAGGTATTTTTATTTCTCAGCTAGTTAGGGCTGTCTCTGGATGAGCTGTACAGTGGTTTCCAGTGACAGGGTTGGCTGACTTCAGCAGATAATCAGGTTTTGATGCCATCAGCATCCACATTGCCTGAAATTCACAGGACTGATATTTTAAATTACTCGACTTTCCTAGCCTGACTCTACTTGTGAATGACACTGAGGTGGATTTTTCACTCTAGCTTTTTCTCAGAGGTGGGACCAGGAGTTGAGTGAACTCCACTATGTAACCTAGAACTGAAGCAAAGCTGTGTTTCATTATCTGGTTGTGGTTATTCTTGCTTTGTCACCTCCAAACTAAAGCTCCTGCTATGCTAGCTAAGACAAAGCAGAGATGGACAAGAGCAGTGCCTTGCTGGTTTCACCTTAAATTTTCCAAATCCTTCATCTACAAAATCTCAGCCTCCAATAATGCAGAGCACTCCCTCCTTTCTGTGTTGGTGTCATTCTAATACCTTCTGTTCTCAACTTTTTGTCATTTTAATGACCAAGATAAACAAGCTGTTGGGAGATTAAAAATGGGCTCGACAGTCTTTTTTGCTGCTTCATTTGCTTTGACTAACATGTATGATTGCAACTGGAGCAGACTAGAGCCTTCTACAATTTGGGTAATCTCATTCAATCACACTACAGTACTCTAAAAAGGGATAAAAATTATAAACAAATGCTACAGGTACACTTATAATTCTAGTAAAAATATTAAGAACTGTTTTAAACATTAGTCTGCCCATGCTTAAGTACCACAGTAAGGATGAATAAGCCCCCCCAGCTCAGTTTAAACATGCAGATTTCAGTACAGGACAGGTTCAGCCCCCCATGCTATTCCATAGAGATTTTGACCAGTGGCTTGCAGTGAAGTATGATCTGTTTGTTGCTGAGGCCTTGGGGGAAAGCATGAGAGAATTAACAGAAACTTTCACTGCTCAAATGAAGAAGTTATTTCCTCACTAAAAGGGAGATGCCAGTCATTACTGACCTGAAGTATCAGTACCTTCAGGTGCATGGCAGCAACATGGTCACAAGTGCAATAATGAGCAATTTGCATGAATTTTATTGTTCATATTTCAAACTTTAAGAAATGTTTACTAGGGAAGGTAAGCTTTAGAACAAAATTAATGTGCTAAAATAAAGGTAGGCCTGATAAAGACACAGTGTCTTAGAGTTGGCTGGGGCACAGTTGCCTAATATTAAAAAATGATTGAGCAGAGGGGGAAGGTCTCATCTTGTGGTCCTTGCACAGGAGCAGTCTGAGAGGTCACCTTGCAGCTCCTCTGCAGCACTGGCTCTGTGCTGCACCTTGCTCAGGCTGCTGCTGCGTGCTGCTCCCCCAGAGCCACACAATCCCAGATTACAGGTGGAGAACTCATCATTCAAATGCAAGGTTTTTGCTCATCAGGCAAAAAACCCGTTTCCCTACTGTGTTGCCATCTGTCTTTGATTTGGATAGATATGAAGTAGCTAACAGAAGTATATCAAAGAGTAATTAAAACTATTGAAAGAACAAAAAGATCTTTAACATAAAAAAACAACCTATTACAGACTGTGCATTACTGATGTTTGCTTTCTAATCTATACAGTGGAGAGGGAGTTAACACTATAAACCTCCTGATTTGGGGTTTTGTTAATCAAATGCTTGCCTAGCAATAGAAATGTCAATTGCAACATTAAACTCTTTAATTAAGCTATTTATTTTGCTAATCTGCATTCTAACACAAGCTTGACTTTTTAAAAAACACACTCTTGTACCAAGTCTTATGTTAAGGTTTGGTTTAGAAAGTGTAATTGTCATTATCAAATTTTCTAAGTTAAATACAAGGCAAACACTTCAAATTAAATGTGTTTTCTCCAGTTGATTTATTTTCCTGTTAACATTTCCTCACTTGCTTGATGTTCAGCAGAATCCAACAATCTGAACTTTTGTATGTGACTTTCACTGGGTTATCAACTGCTACCATTTGTATTGTCAGGTTAAAGAAGGATTTGCTGCTTTACAGAACAAGCAGAAGTGTTCTCACGTGACTGTCACTGCAGCAAGTGACAGAGCACTCAAAGATGAGGACAGCTGCTCTCTGAGGAACTCCATTATACAAAACCAAATAGGAGGAATTGAGAAGTTACTGAATTTGGAGAGACTTCATTCAGCAAGAAAGAGAAAGTATGAAGAAGGCCAGTGAACACGAGCACCAGGAGATAAGCATTCTTTTAGGCATAGACAGATCACTTACCTAACCCAGATTAGGAGAGGTATTCCTACAGAATATGGTATATATGTGTAGTTTTATGTTTAATGTAACATGTTAACAGTTCTTATGTTCAAAAATGTATGCAATTCATACTCCTAATGTTAGTGCTGGTTCTGCAGTCAAATTCAATTTATTAAAAAGTTCCTAAGTTTATATTTTTATGTATGTTTAATAAAATTAAATAATTACTTGACTGTACCCTTCTCCAGCTCCTCAGAAGTTTTGGCTGAAATAGTTCAATTCATTTTCCCTGACAGACTGCTCACTCAGTTTTCAGGCAAAATCACCTCCAACTGTTTCAGAATGCAATGGGTTCTACAAACATTTACAACTACTTCCAGCAGTTCTGAGTGGCAGAACACAAAAATCTTCTGCTCATCTTTACTGCCGAATTATTTAAATCTATCTGTTGTAGTTTCTGTCTCAGTGAGGTGTCTTTCAACACTGAAGGATGAGGTATGATTACTGAGATAAGGCAGCAGATCTGGCTTCATGAAGCTTCACTTCTGTTGGGTTACATTTCTTCTCCCTTGGGTCTAAGGGAAATTTTCTCTTACTTTAAAAATACTTGCACTATCACTTTTCTGACCTCCCTCCCTTCCTCCCCACACCTCTTGCAAAGAAAGGCCCCCATACTGTAAAGTGAACAAAAGAAACACAACCAGTACTGCCAGTTTCTTGTTGCTGATTATGTAAGAAAATCAACAGAAGACATTTTCCCATGTTAGTTTTATTGCCTCTTTTTTTTTCTTTTTTTGGTGTGGCAATTTAGAATATTTAGCTTCTTTAGGCCAATTGCATACATTGTTTTTGAAACACAAATTATCAAAGTTCTGAATAAAGTTCATCTATAGCAATATTACTAGGTCAGAAAAAATTCTTAGGTGTCTGAGAGACTGAGGAGACTGTTTTTCACTTGATTCAAATTTTGTTTCCAGGTGTTTAGAGTGTCATACAACTGCTGCCACTGCTGCTTTCCAAAAGTCCGATGTGTGCTGTGACTGGAGAAGTAAAACAAAATTGGGAGAAGGTTACTAGAGATGTCACACTCACCTAATCATTCTTCTATAGCATTACTTTACACTCATGAGCAAACAGGAAAATTCCTATTTTCTCTCTAAAAAGGACTGAACTTCACCAGTTAAGAGAATTCTGTAGCCTTCCCAAATATTTAAAGCAACAACAGTCATTAGTATTCCTGTCACTAGTAGGTCATTAAATGAAATGTCCTGGAAAGTAGGACTCTTTCATTAAATAAGCTAATCACATTCACTGTGAGCGTTAATAAAATTATGATAAATAGCAACTATTTAACTACCAGCAACTGCTAGGAACAACACCTTGCTTCTAGTTAGAATATTCTACAAATGCAAGTGAAATAATTAGAACACATGAAGTTCTGCAAAATGCCAGGAAGAATTGTCTTACCTGACAATGACTTTCCTCTGTGTCTGATCTATTTTGCAGTACACCATCTTTGTCTTTACAGCTGCAAAAAAACAATGCTGTTTTGAGCAACATTTTCATGATAGTGCAAAGGTATTAAACTGCACAAAAATGGTTCAAAATGAGAACAATACAAACATAAGAACTCAGCAGTTCACTTAATCTGTTTTGCTGTTGGTTTTAATGGTCTAGTAGGCAGAAAAGCAAAATGATGTAACAAGATGAAGGTCATGCACGAATCCTATTGTTTGGTGCCAATCTATTAAAGCAATATCCTGTACAGATTTTATGAACTTCTCTCCCTTACAAACACATCCTGTTTTAATGACAGCAAACAAAACCAGATGACAAATTAAACCTGCAAACAATTTATTAGTCCTGTGCAGAATTACAAGAGAGACAGTTCCTGTCACTGAGAAGAAAAACCCTGGTTAAAACACAACAGTTGTGCCTGTCTTTAAACATGAAGTTGTGCAGCTTTACCTTGTAAAAAGCACAGGAATTAAAATTAATATTGTTCTTAAAATTTAACATTAGCTTAGAAAACTCTAAAGGTCTTGTTCATGAGCACTGTGTGGAGAGCCACAGTTCTTACCATCAATGACAAATGCTTCTACATCATCAGCCCCAATCTGGAGTTCCTGCTGCATTGTGTCAAATGAGATTTCTTTATTCTCTACAGCCATTCCCATGAAAGTAAGGAGCCTCATCTTGGCCATATTGTGTTCGTGCAACAAGCCTGAGGAAAAGTGTTGATAGTTTAATTAACGATTTAATTGTAATTCATACAAATAATTTGCTTTTCATGTTATTTTTACTATATATGCTTCCAATAATTTAAAATTTATTTTACATTGAAATATATTCTACTTTTCATTATCAACAGTTTTTTTGAGGTAAAATACCAAATCCTGCATCTGCCTTGTCTTTTGCTAAAATAGCAAGTTTCATTGTGAATTCATCAAGACTCAGTTGTTTTTAGCAGAAATGTATTATCTACAAAATTTTTGGGTTTTGAGCAGTAAAAACATCACCTAAACAGAACTTGAAGTGGTAAGAGTGCAAGTGAAATTTTCAGTTGCATCACCTGGAAGAACAGCAATGCAACAAAATGGAAAATCCACAGCTGGTTATGCCAAAAATCTTCTTAGAGCCTCACCACTCATTCTCCTGTGGTTTCTGGAAAATAAACCTCTCACAGTGATGGTTCCAGAACGTAACACTGTGGTGCCAGAATAAAGCATTTTGCTACTGAATTTGTTTATCCACAGCAAAAAAAGCCATGGTGAGGCCCATGTAAGCAGCCAGTGTGGCTCAGGAAAGTGCAGTTCAAAACCAGCAGAACGGATGCTGAGGTCAGGTTACATCTTTTACAGCACTGCATAAATGCCAACACAAGGAACTGAGCCAAGGCCTTGCATGTCTGAATCAGAGATCATTTTCCTGGAAAAACATCTAGGTCAGCCAAGTGAAGTCACTGAGATGAAACACAGCATTTCTTAATCCCAAGGTCCATGAGGTACCATCTAAGACCCAGTGGAAGTTTCTTAAAAATGAGTATCAATCTTTTTGTTCTAGAATGACATTATAGACATTCCCATGGCTTCAGTAAATATGTAAGTTTGGAATTTATAACACCCATGTTCTTAAAAATGAGTATCAATCTTTTTGTTCTAGAATGACATTATAAATTCCAAACTTACATATTTACTGAAGCCATGGGAATGTCTATAACACCCATACACTAGCAGGGAAGCACATTAGTGCAGGACATCATGTTGTGTTAATTAGCTGTAATTATGATGCAGGTTCCCTATTTGGCACTGATTCAACAAAAACGAGATCACCATAATTCATATGAACGAGGAGCACCAGCAACTAAACCTAACTGGGTTTAATGGAACTCTACAAGCATCAAAAAATCAATTAGCACACATTAACCCTAATTAACAAATGCAAATGAGATGCTGATTAACTTTGCGAAGAAGACTGCTGATAGTACCAGATTAACTGTGGCCTTGTTAGGGCGATGCAGTTGACACAGATAATGCTACTGCTGGCCTAAGTTGTCAGCATTAATAAAACAACAAATTGTAACAAACTGATGCTGCCTGTGGGAGCCTGCACTGCACAGCTTTCCTGGGCCACTTCTACCTGGTCCTGGTCCAGGAAATGTTACAGCTACAGCCCTTGCTCTACTGCCACTGGAATCCTGTTCTAAACAGCCTTTAAAACAAAGCTATTTTGGCAAGGTATTTTTTTAAAAATCTCTAAAGCATGGTTTAAAATCTTGCTTTTGGGAACAGATAATTTTGAATGCCTCATCTAATAACTGCATTGTTGTCTAGACCAAAATGCCCTTGTTTATCAAAGCCATGGCTGAGCCACTCAGTTCCCAGCATTTCCATCTGTGCTGCCTCCAAATCTCTGCTTGTCCATTGCTCAAAGACACACAGAGGTTCTGAGCACACCATAGAGAAATCAGCGTAAGTGGAAGGCAAGACTGTCCTTCCAAACAGCTGCACAGGTATTTAAGGATTTTACTAAGATTATATGAATCTTAGACATATTGAAAGTTCACACACTGAATTAATTCATGGAGGGAAGTACAGACACTGGGAGGCAAGGAAAAGAAACCACAACAACTGAACACAATACAATTAATGTGACATAGATGTGTAACTGATCTTCCATAAATTTATTCAAATGTTGGTGCAACAGCAATTTCAGCCAATACTTCTGTGGAGGAGTACCTAAAAGATAAGCCCCAAACCCACTTTCCCCTGAGAAAGAAAAGCATAACATGTCTGTATAACTCATGTTCAGATACACGTGACTAAAGCTACACTTACCCTATACACACATTTACAAGCTATCAAAAACTTGCTGCTGATTTTATCCACCAAAAAATCCCACTGGCATTTCTATCATTTTCATGCCCAAAAGTACCACCTTTTAAAGCTCTGAGGGCAATTATTCTAAGAATTGTATCACACCCCATTAAACAAAATAATGCATGTGTTAAAAAGCTGCACTAAATTCTGTGTTAGCAAAACTATGGCTTTCCTCACATGCATCCAAGGCAGTGTTTAAGTGTCATTTGAAAATCAAAGTTATAAAAAAAAAATATTGTATTTTTATGGAAACATTTATTCATTACCAATATGTCAAAACCTTAATGCAGTAATAAAAAAATCTGCATCATTGAGCAATTTCTGCATTGTCACTGACCCCTGTCCTAAAAAGCTGGAATATAAAAAACGTAATTTTAATGCATGCAATAGCTTATGAACCAGTGCTCCTTTGAAACAGTCAATTACACATCAACGGGGGAGTGTCAAAGTGTTAATTACTACTCCTTTTTTCCACAGTGTGTAAATAAAGAGGGTGCTGACATTAACATTCCATCACATTGCTTCATGTGATGAAACAAATTAACTGGGACAGACTGTGGCTTGCTGGGTCTAATGCATCAGCACAGGCAGACACACACACACACACAATTTGCATGCTTTATCTTACTGCTCAGAGGTGTTTGCTGTGACAAAGTTATTCATCATTAAAAAAAAAAAATAGGAGATTTATACAAGCTGGTGGTTTCCTCAATGCAGTTGTGATCTCTGGCCTAGTCAGCAGTATGAATGTGTTAAACCTTTCAGGAGGGGAGTTCTAAGAGGAAAAAAACAACAGTTCTCTTCCAAAGCCATAAACCAGCTTGTTTTCAAAGAACAAACCACAGTTAAGATGGCCCACTCAAAATCTACAAGAGGTTATCATCTACAAACTCTAATCTGCTTTGAAATTTCCTTGCTTCAATACATGGGTTCAAACTGAATTACTCTGTGGCTTCCATACCTTAAACCATGTGAACAGTCAGAAATGTAATGATCTGAAAACTTACCCAGGGAGTCAATGAAGTCTTTGTTGTTCTGATAAAACTTGACATAGGACGCTAGTTTAGCACTTACAAAAATTGTCAAAAGCTAGAAGATGGAAAACAAACATGAGAACAGTTTAAGTATTATCCTTGTTTCTCTCTTTGCAGTCTGGACAGATATGGATAGAAACTATGGGTATTGAACAGAAAAATAAGCTGTTAGGAGCTGAAATTCTGTCTTCTGTCAGTAGATGTGGGCAGTCTGTGCTGAGCTTACTTCCCTTCCCCAGACTTAAGATTTGCTACAGAACTC